TGTGTGTCTAAAAATTTATATTTTAGTAAAATTATTCATTCACGTTACAAAATCAAAATTATTTATTGAATTTTATTTTAAATGAATAATTTAATCTCATGTGTTTGTGTAACAAAGGAAGACGAAATGGCGTCGATCTGCATTCGTGTCACATACAATGTATGTAGTATAAAATCCGAGCCGTATTTATGTTCATGGTTTTAACATGTACAGTACTAGTGTACGATCCAAGCATTATTATGTATATTCCTTATTAAAATACATTTATTTTGTTCATCTTGAATTATTCTGAATGTGGATGCGAAAATCGTCAGCAGAAACACAAAATTAATGCAATAATTTCAAAGCGTATTTCTCGTAACAACAAACATTATTTTCATAGAGTAGTATTCACTACGTTATGTTTTTAAAATCCTTTCAGTGTAAGTAATTATTTAAAAAAGATTTTCTTTATTCTAATAAGTTTTTCTTTTCTTTTAAAGTGTATAAAAAGCAATACCAGAGAGAGAGAGAGAAAGAAAGAGAGAGAGAGAGAGACTCATACAACCCCTCCCCCCTTCTAACATAGTCTAGTTTTTTTGTTTTGTTTTTTTCTTCGTTTTATTTAAGTTACTGAGGTCAAAATTAATCATTTTATAATTCTATTTAATTGCCAAAACTTTTGTTCATATTCAACTCATTTAATGCAATCAATTCGTTCTCTGTATATGCTGTACGCACAAAATTCTCGTGCATCACCTGTCAATCAATTCAAAATTCCATGATGCTAGGTGACCTTGAAAGTCTGTTTACGCGGAAAGAATTTCTCTTGTGATTTGAAACAATCTTATGGTCAGTTCCGAGTTCACACTTGTTTAAAAAATATATTGGGTCTCTGCCGGTGGGCTAGGAGCGCCGTATGTTTATCACACCTTTCAAATTCTTTATCTCTGACCACAGCAAGTGTATTACACACTCAACTGATATCATGCGAAATTCATCTTCCAGGTTTCACTACAACAACGATTATAAACTTACATGTACTTTGTTAATTCATTTATCCTTTTTCAGACACAAATAAGCATTATCCCGTAGATTAAGATTTTAAAAAACATAACATAAATTTGCAGTCTTCTGATAAAGTTTTAACCAGGGACCTATATACTAACCCTGTTTTAACCAGCTGATTCGTATCGCTTTCTAGAAGGGGGGAGGGAGACCATTTTTAAAAATCGCTAAATATCTATATGTTTATTGTTTTCTCAAACTGTTTTTTTTCTTTTCATTTTTCACACGATATATTTCACAATGAAGTAATATTCGTACTGAAATTAGTACATTTCATTTGCCAAAAATTCGGCTGGTGATTTTTGTATTCAGCGTGTAAGTTGATCACTACTTTAATTAATGAAATTTATCAGATTATCATCTTTGCCTGTTCAGTAGATTTTCGAGTTTACCGCATTTAATATTTATCCCCATATTCTACATAATTATAGATTATCAGTTTTAGTCTTACTGCAATAATCCTTATCTGAACCTGTCCAATGATGTATCAAAGAGCAGAATGTGCGAGTCTGATACGTATTTAAAAAAATATATATATTCTAGACACAGTACACATATATATTTTTAAATTCTAACAAAAATAATTAATTTACTCAGTATAATTACGCATCTGATATGTACTACGTATGAATGCAGGGAAAACGATCTTGTATCAACAATTTAATTGAACACGGTTAAAAACTTAAAATCAAAATCGAAAGTAGAAACAATCAAGTAATTCATTTATGAAAGTGTGTTTCCTCTAAGTGTAATATAATAATAGTCTATTGAACTTTTTATGACTAATATAACTAGGATTTAACTTGAAACGTGAATGTACATTTTTTTTTTGCTGGACACTAGTACGTTGTTATTAAATTTCAAGGCATTTTATAAGTTTAAACATCTGTATGCTATAAATTACCAATATTAATTTATGGAAAAGTACAACAAATATTTCAAAAGAAAGTTGATTTAATTTTATTAAATAAGGGCAATAAAAATGTTTAAAATATTTATCATCAGAACTGTGACACACCGTGTTACACGGTGCACAGAAACGCTGACTTCAAAGACGCCGAGAAGGTTCGAGGTCCACGCTAAAGCGTGGACTTGCGGTCCACGGGGCCCCGTGTTTTTTGCAGAAAACTCGAGGCCTGTACTGTAAATGTACTTTATTTCTACATAAATCTACTGGTTCATCGATAGGCGCAGTTAAAAAAAAAAAAATCATGTGCAGGGTGACACAAATAGAGACAGAACTGGGGCTTAGAGCATGCTGATTGGCAGAATCATGTAAATATAAGGAATAACTGTCAGATTTTTTGGTTATCATGACAATGATCAATCGATTGGCTTGCATGATAATTTTATGCATAAATGCCTTCGGTGTTTATGCAAATTATCCCTCAAGCCACTCCATTGATCACATCATGAAACCAAGAAATTAGTTATTCCTAATAGTATATTTCTTATTTCATATACTTTTTCACATATTTTTGAGCTACAATGAAAATGAAACTGAAAAATAATTCTTGGAGCAGGATGATTTATCATAAATTGTACTATATATTTCATGTATCATAGGAAAACCAGAACAACTCTATGTATGTCTAATTTTTCCTTTTTATTTTTCATTCACTTTTTCAATATTTGTCTTCGTTGATATTTTCATTGGTTGGTGATTTCAGTTTTTTTATTTCTTTTTTTTCTTTGGAGGTGGGAACTGATATTTCTCCAATTGACCTTGATATTCAATCCTCCTCTGTCTCAAGTGATGATCGACCTCTGACCCCATGACCTTGACCTTAATGCTTCCAACTTTCTTCTGAAAAGCTACAAAATAATTGCAAGTAAGAATCTATGTAAGCATGAATGTCTACTTCAATGATTAATTAATTGGTCCTGCTGACTAACATTTCCATCAGAAGTAATTAATCCAGATTCTTTCTAGTAAGGTTATATGGATAAGCTAATTATTTCCCGGCTTTGCTAGAAATAAGTACACCTATAATCCTGTATACCTGGTAATACATTTAGAGTAGACTTTATGGTTTGGGGTTCATCAGGAAATAAAAATTTAAGCTTTTTCCATCTCCTGTAGTTAATTGAAAATTAGTTTAGTCACTTTATATTAAAGTTCAAGGGCTTTCTTATTTTTCTGCATATTAATGTAAATGTAATATGGTATGTAAAAGCCTTATTTCTCACGATAAGCCTAAAGACTGTTGACCTGGAAAAAAATTTTGTTTTCATTTTAAAATGAAAGCTGCTTTATCCATTTAATGACAATGAAAGCTTTTCAGGACTTACATGCACTTACTTTATATATTTCCTCTTGCTTTTCATTTGTATTTGTCCCTGCTTTATTTATATTAATCTTGTATTTTGACAGATTTTGATGTTTTCAGAAAGTTGTTTTGATTTGTAATATTCTGTTTATTTGTTTTGTCCTCTCATTTCATTGAAATACCTTCCCCCATGAGCTATCTTTATGAACAGTATGTAATTTGCTAGTAATTTTTTTTAACTCCACCAGACTTGTTGGCTGGGAAAAGTTTTCAACAAGACTGTATTAATTTATTCTAGCTTCTACCAATGTATGAAAAGATTTTTTTTCAGAGGTTTAGTGCCTAAAAGTGTAATAAAGGGATAAAAATTAAAACCCAAATTAACTTTCATATTCATTCTCTTTAGCTTCATTTTGTCAAAGTTTTGCATATTTAAGAATGCGCTATTATATTTTCATTTTAAATTCTATTGTTAAGGTAAATGTGTTGGATTAATTTAACTTGTTTTTGAAATGGGAACTCAGATGAGAATATTTCAGCAAATTTAAGAGTCTGCATTTTTTTTTTGGCATGGTTTTTTTGCAATATAATTGAACCAATTCACAGATATTAATTTTTGACCAAAGATAAATATTTAAGTGAAAATCTGTTAAAATCTGACAATGTATAGTCCTAGATTGTAATTAATAGTTTATTTATTAATCTACTAATTTGAGGTTATTTTTTATATTACTAACACTTGATATGATTTGTATGTATGCATGTGAAATTTTATGTGTTTATTTGCCTTATTTTCAGTTAGAAGAGAGAGCCTAACAAAAAGGTACTTAATTCAATATGTTTACAATGCTTCACCATTTCTAGTTGTCATTACCACAGACAACATCTTTGTATACTGACCTCCAAACTTCACAATTTCTAGTCTGACCCCCAAACTTTACCATTTCTAGCTGTCATTACCACAGACAGCATTTGTTAAAACTAACTATGTCAATACAACAAACAACATTTTGTACACAGACCCACAAACTTTACCATTTCTAGTTGTCATCACCACAGACAACATTTGTTAAAACTAACCTCTAAAACCTCACAATTTCTAGTTGTCATTTCCATAGACAACATTTGTTGAAACTGACCCCAGAAACTTCCCATTTCTAGCTGTCAATACAACAAACAAACTCTTTGTAAACTGACCCCAAACTTCTATATATTTTTTTGTCACTACCACAGAAAACATTTGTGTATACTGACCCCAAAACTGCACCAATTCTAGTTGTCAATACTTAATACCTTGGACAATTACTGTACAAACTGGCTCCCAAACTTCACTATTTCTAGCTGTCAAAATCAGAGACAACATTTGTATACACTGATTCTCAAAGTTCACCATTTCTAGTTGTCAATACAACAAACAACATTTGTGAACACTGACTCCCAAACTTCACCATTTCTAGTTGTCATTACCACAGGCAACATTTTTACAAACTAACCCCCAAACCTCACAATTTCTAGTTGTCACTTCCATAGAGAACATAGGTACAAACTCGTAACAAACTGACTCCCAAACTTCACCATTTCTAGTTGTCATTACCACAGACAACATTTTTGTATACAATTATTTCTAGTTGTCATCACCGCAATATTTTTAAATTTTTTATTTCATGTGTGATAATTTACCATGTTAATATCAAGCAAATCACCATTTCTAGGTGTCGTCTTCACAGATCTTTACATACTGGACAGACATTCTATTCACGACATCAACACAAAACCATATCCCTTGTATGTTACTGGTTGGTGTAGTGAATATCACACTTTGCATATGTAGAAACATTTTATATCTTTATTGTGATAATTTTGATATTTTTATGTTTACTGTGATGATTTCTATGTTAATCAAGCAAATCAATTATGCTCATTTATACACCCCCCCTAATGCTTGCAGAATGTAGTTTGAGGCAATATGCTTATATATAGACTGCAGAGTCCATTTTACAATTTTGTTTTTAGAATGAAAATATTGACTGGGAGACAGCTTTCTTCATTAAATTAGTGAATAACTGTATTTGTATTAAAAACTGAGACAGACAAAACATTATTTTAACTTGGTTTAATTAATGTTTAAATTAATTAAACTGTAATGTCTATTTTTTTCTTCCTTACAGAATCAAGGAGAGGACTCCGTGTTAAGAGGTGCCTTTAAACCAAAAAACATTTGTGTCAATATAGCAGGGCCCTCTGGAGACAGAGTGTGATTAAATCACAGGGGAAGACAACTCTTGTGAGAGTACATTGCTGGGGATTTTTTTTATTCCACATTTGTTTGATATGGTACCTGCATTGTTACAGAGATAACTTCATATTTGTTTTATTTAAAGCTCTTCTAAAAAGGCTTGTTTAGATTGGTTGACACTTATCAGTCATTGCCATTTTAACAGAAAGAGGGGAAACATGTATTTTTTTTGTTAGTGTTTTTGGAGAAATTCCAGTATGTTGTAGCTTCACAATGTTTGTGTGATTGGCTTATCAGCAAAGTTTTCAAAGATTGTATGATTCAGTAAGGAATGAAGAAACTCGAAGATCATGTTTGATTAAGTTGTGAAATGTCCATTCCATTGAAATTAATTTTTTGTGCACTGCCAGGGTGTTCATTGAACCAAAAGAGGAAATTTAGGTCTTATTTATTGGACTAGATGACATGATAAACAAAGCTATTCCATCTAAGTTAATGTTGTAGCTATCCCATATCTTGTGATATTTCATCCTTTACTTATCTCTTTTTCATCATAGCAGTCCCTTATCAGATTCTAAACATAGGTATCTCCTGGTGACTCCATAGCTATTCCCTATCTTATGACAGCTATACCGTACCCTGATAGCTATCTCAAATCATGCAGCATCAAGGCATTTTGTACCCTGTGATGTAATTCCCATCAGAAATTTATATCGTATTTATTTAATGCCATTATTGCATGTTCTAGATTACACCTTGGCTACCTTCACATACTGATATAATTGTAACAATCCCACGTGTTAGTGATGACACAGACATTCTAGGCCGTACCTCTCTCACACCATAACTACCTACATATCCTCACTGATATATACATTGGTGACATTGTACCCCTCCATGTTACACCCTCACCTATCTCACTAAGTGACAGTGCTATCCCATATCCCAGTCATTTGACTGATTGTGAAACCATAAATTATGTTAAAGATATGCAGTACCAATCCCCTGAGAGATGCGTGTACCCATAAGCATTAAGTATATTTCTTTTATTGAAATGCATTATGTGAAGAAAAATATAGAAGTAAGATACCTCATTATTGTACGTTGTGTCCCATTTATTCACAAAATTCCAACATTTTAGAATTATTGATTTTGAAGGTGAGTCCATTTTCATCATTTTTCCTGTTTCTTATTTATCTGGGACTTGATATCAACATGAACAGAAGGCATTTCATAAGTAGCAAGAATTAGTCATTATAATCTGTTTAAAACTCTATGCATTTATCAACATCTTTGACAATTAAATATTTGCATTTGGTAAGTTAAATTGACAGACTTTCAGCACTCCCATTCTGAGTTTGCTTTCAGTTTTGCCAAATCTTGGTAAAGTACCTGCAAAACTGAACATTATTTTGAATCCTTATCCTTATTTTAATTCAGAACAGCACGTTTAATGAAACTAAGGAAGAGGAAATCTACTGATGGCATAGTTTTAAACTACTGGAGTATAGTTGATTGTATTGTTTAGTATTAATTTCTGTGCTCAACTAATAGACAGTATGTGTATTGTAACAAAATGTCTGGGTAGCCCTGGCTTAACTTAGTAGTATTTGTTTCACAGTGTGTAAGTTTTGTTTGCTTAGTGTTTGTTATATTATGAATGCATCTCAAATCTTTCATGTTATACATGTATTTATTGATTGTGAAATGTCTTGCATTGTTGCAATTTTTTTTAAATCTCTCTGATAATTCAGAATATACTGCATAATCATCCCACAATTTAAGACAAGTGCTCTGGGGGAAAAATACCCCCTCATTAGTTTCTTGTTCTGTTTTGTTTTTAGTTGCTCGATCTGTATGTTTGGGTGCTCCTTTTGTTTTGTTTGTATATATAAATATTTATTTATATAATCTCTAGTAAATATTCTATCTCCACCCATAAAAAAATCAAGATATTCAGTATTTGCATAATTTCCTTGCCCAGAGTTAAAACTTTTAATCATGCTTATAAAATTAATATTTCATAGGTAATTTTCCTTCTTATTTAATTTTTTAATGAAAAGTGAAATTTCATTTCTGATCATGAAATAAAATCAAATACTCAAAAGAAATTGATATAGCATGTATTTACGTTTTTGTGCACTTCTCTGGTTTTTGATACAAAGTACTTTTTTCTTTTTTGTCTTTTTTTTTAAAATATTTTTTTCTAATTCTCAAGTAAATTAGACACAAAATACCATCAGATATTCGTAATTGTTCACTGTGTATTCCTTTTACTTCCAAACTTAATGTACTGGGGTTAGAAAAAGGAGACAAAACATCAATTCTATAAACTGATTTTTTAAATAAATTTTGACACAATAGAAATGAACATAAATTTACATTAATCTCCTTTTTATTTTTCATAAAATCTATAAGAAGAGGTTTTCGATTGAGTTTTAAACTCTTCAAGTCAAAATTGACGTTTCAAATGAAAAAAACTGCATATAAATCTTTATATAAACTGAAAGTGACTCAAACTGTAAAAGCTAAATCATCTTAATTAGCAAGCCTGTAAGAAGTGGGTGGGTGCACAACGGACAAATACCAAACCAAAATAGAGGTCATCAGACAACTAATGATAGGCAACATCCGAAGATTAGTCAAGTTTTCTATAGCATATGATAGGAGGGACAAACTTCTTCCCACTACAGGCGTGAATCTAGAAATTTTTCCTAGGGGGTGGGGCATCATAGTCAAAACATTCCAACCCAGAAATTTCTTGACAGGCTAAAACCAAAAAAATATGTTAACTCGCTTCCCAAAAGTAAAAAAAAAAACTATTTTGAGGGGCAAGGGGGTACATATTAGTGGATGACTTTCAAAGCTTCATACTAATGGCTTTTCATACCAATATGACATACGTAGATCCGTGTTTTCGAGGAGGGGGTCTCCATTTTCTAGAGGGGGGCAAGGTCACTCTTTCTTGGTTTAGTATATACATTTATAAATCTGCAAATCCGGGGGGGGGGGGGTCCGGACACCCCGATCCCCTCTAGATCCGCGCATGCACTAGCTTCCACAGTTCCTTTGACCTTGCCCAGTAAAATCTGATTACAGTATATTAAATTGTACAATTGTAATGTTCAACCATCCCTTTTCAATGCCAAAAGCTGTTTTCAGTTTTTTTAATTCGATTTATAATCTTCAAGAACTACAAACAATTAAAACCTTTATTTGTGCAATTACTTATATTGCATGCCAAAATAGCACAGATTATTCAATTAAAGATGTTGTAAAGCTTTTAACCTGTATGATATGCAAATACTTGTAAAAATACACTTATATATGTCAATAAGTGCTTTATTTCTGATATAAGCTGACTAGAACTATGTGTCAGGGAGGTTCTGATCCGAGCTTCATCGTTTAAAAATTATTACTTAAAAATCTGCATCACAAAGTTAAGCTTGTCAAAGTGGCTTTAGAAACAGATCGATTGTTGAAACTGTTTTTATGGGATATGTAGACTAGGAATTATATCTCATAATCAAGTGTGTTTAATATTTAAGTTAAACATAGGTGATGTTTTTAGTCAAAATTTTGTCAAGAGAAAAGGGTCAACAAAGCTATAAAATGGATTCAAAGACTGGAACTACTTATGCTATGTGTTCATGTCACTTCAAATGGAATTTGTGTATGAGAGAAACTTGTTTGTACTACAATTTAAAATGAACGAAAAATAACATACATTTGAAGCATGATTATCACATTTTAATTTTAATTAATCAATCCAAATTATGATGGAATATACATCCACCGTTTTGAAATTGTGCATGCTTTAAACTCTTAAGACGTATCTATAAGATTTATGCAAGTATATATATTAGGCTATATTCCTACATACATTACATGTATATACTGAAAGTACTCAATATTTATTTACACGTATTTAAGATGTTTAGTGATTACATATATATAAATGCTTCATCTGATAGTCATGGATCGTTTTAGGGCTTATAAACTTGAAATTATTTTCCTATTGTTTGTGAAACAAAAGATATACGTAGAGTCCTGTCACTATAGATTGTGCTCTCTATAAACTGCACTGAGATGGTTTTATGTTGACCGGGTATTACTGAAACATAAACGTGCGTTAACGTCATTCACTCATTTTGGTTTTATTTATGTGATATTTATAATTTGATTTGTTAATAAAATATAACCTGCATTTGTTTTCTCTTTATCAGAAAATTAAATGTATAATAATCAATCCTGTGTCAATTTTCCTTTCTGGTTCACCTCGAATAATTTGAAGTGAGACTATGCTGCATCTTTAAGCCTAACATCAGAGTTGGAGTTGGCGTCCTGGTATAAATTTAATGGCAAGTCCATTCGTAAGGAAATGTAAGGCCTTTATGGACCTAACCGTAGAAATGAATAACTCTCAGCTGGAGGAAATATGGACAGGTAAAGCTTTATCTGTCCGAATTTTTTTCATGCAGAGAGTTACAATTCTGCAGCCACGTGGACCAAACTTAAATGGTTGATGCGCCTAGGAATACACACTTCCAGACTTGCTTCAGATGCTGCACCCGACTTGCATTTTCTGGATGAGTGATGAGATGTAAGGAGTAGAACTTTTTTTGAAAGAACTTCGTCTTATAGTGTCAAAAAAGTCTTGGATGATATATGGTACTAAACATGCTTTTGATGTTGGATCTGACCTGCATTATACAGTTTCTAGGGCAAGTCTATTCCCGAGTAATTAATATTAAACCTACTTAGAGCAAAGCATAGATGATGCATCTAGGACTGTACATTACCCATGAAACATATGGAGATAAACAGTTTCCAAGATAAAAAGTCCTTAAAACAATACGAAATAGGAGCAGAGCAAACTCGGACCTCCAAAACATCGGAGTTGGGACCAGGTGCCATGGAGGAGTGAGCATCCCCTGCCGACCGGTCACAACCTATCGGAAAATAACGGGAAAATCGTCGTCAGTTCAGTGTTTAAACGATGGTTTAACAATTAATATGCAAAGCGTCAGTCAGCATTTAACTCAATGATATAATTGTATTTAATGACAAGGTCATTGTATCGACAGTAGAACTTAAGAAATGATGACTTGAAGCGAGACTGCTAAAAATTCTTGTTTCATCAGCTTGTTTAACAATAATTTACTTCGTTTTAGAAATTGTTTATACGTAGAGCATGCTCTTGCGTAGCGTGAGGAATCAACTGAGATATTTAATCTCGGTATGCAGGTGATGAAGGTATATTGCTGCATAATGAAGGGAAGTTGACGATAGAAAAGTTTAAGTCATCACGTTTATCATAGATCTTGTTGTTAGATTATCATTAAAGTCTTTAAATTTTCAAGTAAAATATCCAAATATGAAACAGATGCGTCAGACTCTGTAGTATTTTTTATCTCAAATTCACCAGGATAGATCCTAAATGACAAAAGAATGGAAATTACCATTTTTAATTGACAATACGTCATCGATATATCTAAATGTCGAGTTGAAGGCCACAACACGTGTTTTCTTCTTTTCATGCATAAGATTTTGCACAAAGTTTGCTTCATGTGAATACAAAAATTGGTGTGCTAATAACGGGGCGCAATTGGTAACCATGGGAATTTTCATAGATTGTTGGAAGACCTGTTTAGACATAGTGTGTCTCAAGCATCTTTTTATGTCAATTTCAGAGTACTTGAATTGTATGTACAAATTTTGCAAATGAAAGTTTTCTGAGCCAATGACAAGTTAAGTAAATTTACGATCCCATTTCTATTGAAAATGCAGCTGTCAATGATATCAATAAGCCTGGACTTTAATTTATCATGGGAAATAGTTGTGTATAAAGTTGAAAATTTGGGACCAAGTTGCACTTTGGAAAAATAATTTTTATTTTCAAAATGCTTTAATATCGACCATATTAAGGCACTTTGAAAAAAATGTGCACGGCTTAAAGTAGTCCATGTTCTAGCAAATTTTAGATATAATTGAAAATTATTTGAACGTGGTGGAATAACTTTTTGTTGAATCATCTCTGTGGATTAAGCCACCACAATATAACGTGTGTCCGAAGGAGAGGGGGTATACTGTTTTAGCCTTGTGTGTCTGTCTGTCTGTCCGTAACAAATTTTCGTCAAAGTTTTCTGAGCAACTACTCATCGCAAATGCTTGAAATTTTGACACAATCATCTCTGAGGCATGCCATATGGTGGGATTCATTTTGTTCAAATCTAATGTCAACGTCCTGTTAGTCCGTGCGTCTGTCTGTTTCATACATGTATAACATTTTTTCGTTGCAGTTTTCGCAGCAACTACTCATTGCAGATGCTTGAAATTTTAATACAGTCTTCTCTGAGGCATGCCATATGGTTGTATTCATTTCTGTTCAAATCTAAAGTCGACTTCCTGTTCGTCCTTGCGTCTGTCCGTTTCAAAAATGTTTCATGCATAACAAATTTTCGTCGCAGTTTTTTTTAGCAACTACCCATTGCAGATGCTTGAAATTTTAATACAATCTTCTCTGAAGCATGTCATATGGTGGGATTCATTTTTGTTAGCTCACCTCAGTGAAGTTGGGGGAGCTTATGTAATACCGTCGGTGTCGGCGTCGGCGTCCCGGGTTAAGGTTATTATTTTTTTTTTTTGGAGCAGTTTTCTTTTTAAGTACTTCTGTGTCCTATATTGATAAGACATGCATGGAGGATGTTTCTAGTGTGTTTAAGTCCTATGTTGACCAAACTTGCATGGATGGTACATTTAAGGATGGAATGACCAGACTTGTTTTGGATGCTGAATCTGACATTTTTGAGTGAACAGTTTTTTGGTGTGGGTGTCATTTCAAAGATACTATGAGCCCTATAATGATCAAACTTGCATGGATGGTACATCTTAGGATGCATACTACTAGACTTGCTTTGGATGCTGAATCTGACCTACATTTTCCG